AGCCTGATCAAAGAGAGCAGAGGAGGGTTCCCCAGCTGGGACACAAACTCTGCATGAGTGGCCTCTCCTTGAGCCATTACATCACCTCGTGTGGCTTGAGGGAAGGCAGGACCGAAGCACACTTGGTTCCTAAGGAGGATGGTATAGGCTGTCACGTCCCCCCAAATTCACATGCTGAATCCCTAACCCCCAGGACCCCAGGACATGGCAGAATTTGGAGATGGGATTTTAAAAGAGGTTATCAAGGTAAAAATGAGGTCACTAGGGTGGATCCTAATCCAATAGGATTGATGTCCTACAAGGAGAGATTAGGACACAGATAGGCACAGGGGGAGCCCACGTGAGGACCTGGGGAGAAGACGGCTGTCTAAGCACCAAGGAGAGAGGCCTCAGGAGAAGCCCGCGTGCACACAGCTTTATCGCCGACAGCATCCAGGACTGGGAGATCGGTCTCTTATTCAAGCTGCCCTGTCTGTGCTATTTGTTACGGTGGTGCTGAGCAGACTCACACGCAGGGTAACTCAGGGCTCAGACTGGACAGAACCCACTCTCCATCCCCCTGTACGAGTTACAGGAGCCTCAGGATCTGAGGAGGGGGGTCCCTGACGGGAGGCACAAGATAGAAGATGCTAGGCATTAACATGGCTGCATTCATGTTAAACGTGCCTGAAATCCATTCACATGAGACGGTTTTGCCCTGTATGTACGCCCACATCAGCACCTTCAGTCTGAACTGCAGATCTCTGGCTTCACCACCTCCACTGAGAGCATTAGCTTCACCTGCTGTGGACCGTCTCCTATAGGATTTCCAGAACCACAAAGCATCAAAGCTTCACAGGACCCAGAGTGTGTGCGCTAGCATCCAGGCAACCCTCACAGCAGAGCCACGCAGCTGCCCATCAGAACCTATTTCCCTTTTACCTGTTCACGGCTAACCCGCACCGCCCAGGCTGCCCACCCCTTGCAGCTGGTGCGCAGTGTCTTCTTGTTACCAAGGGGGAGGGGTGGAGGTGGTGAGGGGTTTGACCAGCCCGCATCCTAGGACGGAGGGCATGATGCCCACCTGGTCACCCCACCCTGCTGGTTGGAGGCCTCACCTGGCAGCAGGGAGGAGAAAAAGGGGGACAGAGCCTGGGACCCGACACCCACCTGCCCTGGACTCTCACAAGAAAGGGACAAAGACAGCTTGAGCTTCGCCCATATTTGGGAGACACTCCGTTCCAGCAACAAAGCAAAGCGCTTTTAAGGCACTTTTATGGTGCTTCACAAACCCCTCCCCAGCTGTCACAGAAAGTCAGGCTCAGCCTCATCACACTTTTCTCAAACCCCAACTCACGCTGAGACCACCTCTCAGGTGATGGTGCTTCAGAGCAGCCCCTTTAAAAGAAGATCCCTGGGGCTTCCCTGGTGGCGCAGTGGTTGAGAGCCCGCCTGCCGATGCAGGGGACGCGGGTTCGCGCCCCGGTCCGGGAAGATCCCACGTGCCGCGGAGCGGCTGGGCCCGCGAGCCATGGCCGCTGAGCCTGCGCGTCCGGAGCCTGTGCTCCGCAACGGGAGAGGCCGCAGCAGTGAGAGCCCCACGTACCGCAAAAAAAAAAAAAAAATCCCTGGAGTTCAGCTCTCCTAGACCTGCCTTCAGTTTAAGGGAGACGTTTCCTTGACAACCTTGACAAACCTGCTCAGTTTCCTTAACAACCAAACTTGGGAATCTCCCAAACTCTTCCCCTTCAAACATTCCTACTCTAGGCTGGATGAGCCTAAAGTGACAGTGCCGTCATCACGTGCCAGAGAGCGATTCCCCCAAGCCCGCAGTTATTGGTTACATGATGCTATCGATGATGAAATCCCAGAAGAGCCAGCTCTGCAACACAACCACTTCTGGACTCGGCACTGGGTCCCTCTGAACAGACAGAGTGGGGTGGCTGTTTCCACGGACCCCGTGGAGGAAAGGCTCACCTAATGCAGCCAGGACTCCATCCTTTCCAGGTGATTCCAGGGTCCTCACTCTGCCCAGACCCCACCCACATGGCTGCTGTCTGTGCCAGTCCATACGGAACCTTGGTAATCTCCTAAAATGAGGGGTATTTTATACACAGATAATGGGTTGAATGCTGGCCCCAAAAGATGTGTCCCCCCAGAACACGTGAACAGGACCACATCTGGGAAAAGGGTCTTTGTATATGTAGTTAAGGATCTCGAGGTGAGGTCATCTTGGGTTAGAATGACCCTCAATCCAATTGAGAGAGTCCGTATGAGAGACACAAGGAGAAACACAGACATAGAGGAGGAGCCACGTGAAGACAGAGGCAGAGACGGGAGGGATGCAGCCGTGAGCATGGGGATGCCTGGAGCCCCCAGAAGCTGGAAAAGGCAGGAAGAACCCTATCCTGGAGCCTCTGGAGGGACTTGCATCCTGAAACACTTTGATCTCAGATGTCTGGTCTCCAGGACTTGGGGGGGATGAATTCCTGTTGTTTTAAACCACCCAGCTTGTGGTCGTTTGTTAGAGAAGCCACAGAACAGTCACACAGACCCTACTCTGTAGGATCCTGGAAGTTCAGGTCTCACTAAGGCCGACAGAGGCTGGACTGCAGAACCCTTAGAGTCAGCATTGGGCCCCAGAAATCCTAAAGCAGTAGCTGGACACCAGAATGTTGAGGGTTCAGTCGGAAGCCCATCCCTGAGGGTGCCAGCTGCACACGGCGTCCCCAGGTCTTTACACCTGTACATGTTGGGGATAAGTATTTCCACCCTGATTCAGGACCTCTGATGTCACCATTCACGTTGCTAATTAAGAACCCACCAGTTACACAGATGAGAACCCTATCAGGGCACTTGCTCCAGTGGTAAACAATTCTGAAGTTGGTCAGTGGTGGGGAATCGTCTCCCATTCAGCCAGCAGCCCCCACGCAACAAGCGTCCTCATTGCAAAGCTGGGGGACCGTGCCGAGGCATCTGTGAGTAAACGTGAGCTGAGCCCCAGGCCAGCTGCTGCTGAACTGTTCCCACCCTTCCCAGGTAAAACACCTGAATATGTACAAGGACTTGAAAGCCTAGAGGAAGGGCCATGGAGCCACATGAGCGACAGCACGCCGTCCGACTTGGTGCCTGCAGGCCAGCCAGGATGGTCCTGGCCCCGGGCGCTCTTCTGGAAGATTTCCATTCCCCTGCCTGAGGTACCCCTCCTGTCCCGGCCCCCACTGCGTTTTTCCTTCCTCACCTCTGCCCGGGGGGAAATTCCAGCGGCAGGTACGGGTGACACATCCTCTTCTTTAGCAGGTGGCAGCCCGGCAACTCCTGCGGAAAGTCCAGCAGAGCCCCACTCACACTGGGCCACCCACAAAGCCGTGGCCTCTCACTCCCTCCCACCAGCCCAGCCCGAGACTGCTGACAGGGCAGAGAATATGGCGTCAGGCACAGCTGCAGTGGCTCTGGATGATTGGGTATTTATATTGATCTCAACGGGGAGGGCTGGCCGAAACGGTCAGGCTGCCCAGGTCAGCCAATCATCAACCCTCGGGGTCTCACAGTTGCAGAAAATGGAACTTGATGAACCGGCCAGGTCCAAGGAACAGGTGTGGGCTCCTGAGAGTCAGGATAGAAAAGGGGCTGCAGCTCTGGCTTGTTTTCTAATCATTTTATCTGGCCCATGAGTGGGAGACAACTTCAAGAAAACCGTCCTAATGAGAGGAACCCAGGAGTCAGGGGGAGGGGTGGGTGTTGGGTGGAGAGAGAGGCCTGGTGCCCCGGGTGCAGTGGAAGTCTCTGGAAGACCAGGCTGGGGGGAGGCCGCACAGAGTGATGCCTAGGGTCACAGACCTGTACCGGAGCTGCTGTTTGTTAGTTCAGGTCCTGCTCTGAGGTGCTCTGTGTCAGCTCTGAGCGACAGGTGAGCTGGGGGTGCTCTGCAATGAGGGCTATGTGCACGGTTCCTGTGTGCCCAGCCTTGCTGGGTACCTGCCCAGGGGAGCTCCGTATCCAAGGAGGGGCCTGACCACGAGAGCCCCGTGGGCTGCTGGGTACCTGCACAGGTGAGCTCCATATCCTGGGAGGTCCCTGACCACGAGAGCCCCGTGTGCTGGGAGGGTGATGTGTGTATGAACGTCCTCTCTGTGCAGCCAGCACAGAGTTGCTTAGCAACTTCCCTGTGGGCACTGCTGGGATGAAATGAGAACCAGGAGATGCCACAGGACCCCCTGAACCCCTGTCCATCCAGGTTGATGACGTCAGTAGGTGTGTGCTGGCCACTGTGCTGCGTGAAGGAGGCCCCACGGGTACCTCTTGTGTCGTCCACCTGATACCACGGAGGCCTCCCCAGGACAGAGCAGACAGCCTGCCTGGGGCAGGTGGGAGCTCCTGGTGACCCTGCAGGGGACACGAGAGGGACGGACCAGGCAGGAGGAGGTGGGAGCCCAGGCAGAGCCATGGGGCTCGGGGCCGAGGGTGCCTTTCTGGGTCTGATCTGAGAGTGGACGTGCAGGTGGTGACTGTGATCCAGGAAAGCGGCCCTGGTGACGTGAAGCTGAACCTGCTTCAGTGACAAGCCTTCCGGGTGATCCCAGAACAGGAGAGTGAGACGGATCCTGTTAGAAAAAGGTAAGTGAATCCCCTCAAGAGGAGGCTCTGTGAGCTGGTCCCGGGAGGGGGGTGAAGGGAACAGGCGTGGAACCTGAGGGGAGTGGGCAGTCCTCCTGGGCGGGCGGCAGGTGCAGACCCCACTCCGTGGTCCCACATCTGTGCTTCCGGCTGGATTACTTGGCTTCTCGGAGCCTCAGCTTCCCGGTCTGCTCGTGGGGTGATGGTAGCATGGACTGACTAGTAATTTGCTCAGAACAGGGTAGGAAGGGGGCTAGTGGAAATTCCACGGAACGCTGTCAGTATGGGAATCGCAGGCCCTGTTTCCCGCAGGTCTGTCTTCAGGATCGGGAGAGCAAATCCGAGCAGACTTGCAGCAGAGCCTGGGGAGAGGCTCCGTTTGGTGGGTCCCCGTTTCCTGATTCTCAGAAGGAGCAGCTCCAGCGGGCAGTGGCAGCTTCATCCCACACCTGGGAGCATCCAGACCTCAAGGCCCAGCAGCCCCCGAGCCCTGTGTCTGGGCCCCCGGGAGGCAGACGGGACAGGCCGGCGTCCTCCTTGCCCTCTTCCTGCCCAGAACATTCGGGGTCCAGGTCGTCATTAGGGAGAAGCAGGGATGGGGGTGTCCCATGTGGGAACAGGACACGGAGCAGCTCGGGCACATGGACGTCCACACCGGGAATGCGGGTCGGTGGGACGTGGGCACCGGGAGGGGCAGGCGGTGGGCCTGAGGAAGCAGGGCGGGGCCGGGGGTCCTGTGGGGTGTGTGTGCGAGCTTTGCCTGTGCCGGGCCTCAGACTCCACGGGGCTTCCCTCCCTTGGTCACTGGGCAGGAGGGGCCGAGCAGCGTTGGTGGAGGGACCCCTCGCATCCCCAGGCCCTGGCAGCACCAGCCCTCCAGGCTCTGGGTCGGGGAGCCTGAGGGGCGCAGGTCCAGCTGTGCCCACAGGGAGGACTGGAGGGGTCGGGCGGGAAGCACGGGCGTGGTCTCGCCTGTGTGGAAGCTCCCGAGCCAGTGTCCAGTGGGAGCCCTCACCCCGCTCGTGGCTTTCAAGTACACGGCTCAGATCACCTTCTAGCCGCTTGGTTTGTTTTCTAGACACAAAGTCCTAATATCTCCTATGTCCCCTACCCGTGAAAGGGCACGTCTCACCTGGCACCAGGTGCTGCCTCTGGTCCCTCCTGACTGGACGCCCAGCAGCCAGTGTCACCGCGTCACGACTGTCAGGGGGTGTCAGGCGTGGGGGGACGAGAGCGCACGGTCCAGGCCCACGAGCCGCCGTGCCGTCCATGGAGCCGGTGCTGTGGCTGTAGCTGTTCCCTCCCCCACCCGCGGGAAGAGACCACCGTCCCCTTACAGACTGTTACCAAGTGAAGTCATGTGGACCCTGCTCGGGCCCCAGCCTGGCGAGGCGCTCTGCCCCAGTGGGGAAGGGTTCCTTTTTCCACATGGGTTCAAGTAGGCAAATAACAGAACCAAAGCCGAGACCAGTACAGCACAGGCTCTATTCAGTGGCCAAAGAATGGAGAAGCGGGAACTAAGTTTACAGATCAGCTTCTCGCCCTCCTGGAGAGAGTGGTTTAATTTTAAAGACAAAGGGAGGAGGAGTGAGGCTAGTGATGGGATGAAGGGGCCTTGGGGAAGGGGCGGGGCTTCTTCCAAGGGCTGGGGTACCACCTCCTTCTACCCGTTTCTGGTCCTTCAAGTCCAGTCATGGCAGCCAGTAGGTGTGTCACAATATGCAGATATAGTAAATTCAACACGTGATGAGACTCAGGGTCAGTTGGAGGTCACATTCGTTGCCATCTTAGTCCCAGCTGATTCCATCTGTCTGTTTGTTTCTGGCTTCCTTTCTTACCTCTGGACCCCTTCACTTAAATACTTAGGTGAACTCCTGCTGCA